TTATGAGTGAGACATGTCAGAAGAGTACTATAAACGAGATCTAGGCTAGGTTCCGCGAAGTTTCGGCTTCCACAAAATGCGATCTTGAATTTTTTTTTGCGAAATAGGGTAGAGATGCTATTTTCATAAAAGAACTAAATCCAGTTTCTGAGAATATGGCAACCTCCGAATATGCCTAACGAAATGTCGGTAGGCTTCGCAAGATTTCGGTTTTCAAAAAAAATTTGCGAGATAGAATGAAAATCCGATTTTCAGAAAAGAATAATTCCGGTTTCCCAAAATATGACCACTTCTATCATTATCCCAATATGCCAAGAAACGAAATACTAACATCAGAAATTTTCAGCTATGTATGCGAAATATCAGAGAAACGAAATGCTACTATCAGGAATTTTCAGATAAAACGAAATGCGATTATCAGAAATTTTCAGATATTTGTTGCGTGGAAACGAAATACTAATATCAGAAATTTTCAGGTAAAACGAAATGCGATTCTCAGAAATTTTCGGATAGTTGTTGCAAGAATTTTTTTTTCAGAGATTTCACGAAGTCCTACTTGATTCACTATGAGTAATCACTAGATCAAGCAAGCTGGCTATTTGATTGAGCGGGTCCTCTGAATGAGAGGTCCGCTCCGATACCAAACTGTTGCATACTGTAACGGTGCAGACCAGAACAAGAACCGACCTCTCAGTACAAAGTGCAAGATAGCGTTGCGGAAGACTTAGATACCAATGATCCGAACAATCAATATTGCAATGCAGCCCCGAACATACATCATCATCATCATTCCCTGGTGTGAATGGGTCTGGCGCTTCACACAGGAAGACTGCGCCAGCCCCAACCATACACAGACGAAGAAGAGGGGGGTTAGACGAAGAAGAGGGGAAGATGGGAATGTCGTCAACGCCGAGTCTTCGGCACAGGCCCAAATAGTCCCTCGTCAAAATGTCTGAATCCCAATGTCGAGTCTGGATCCAATGTCGTCAAGTCTCAAGTCACAACTCTCCCTCTCTCTGTAGTAGTCTGCCGATACTGAGAAGTCAGGTGGTGAGAGGGTGAAGAAGAGATGGTGGACTTAGAAGAGGAAGAAGAAGAACTCTCTCTCTCTSTRTGTCCAGTACTAACCTGTRAAGATGGCGCCTTGATGCAGGTACCTCGAAGATSGAGCTGGAGCTATGGCGCCACAGGTAAGTACCGCTGGCCTCCRCCAGCCATCTCTCTCCARCGCTACCACTACCAGCTACTAGCGCCMTGCGCTGAAGACTACTCCTGCAGCTATGAGCGCCCAGCGCTGAAGACTACTGCTAGCGCTAACTACTACTGCAGCGYTCCTCCTGAGTGCTGCGGCCGAATCCTGAAGACTACTCGTGCCTACTGTCCAACTACCTACCCGTGAAGTGCATGGKAACTTCCTATGTACTACTCGGGTGCCTCCTGACTGCAGGGCGAGGCAGTCCAGGAGGCTGCTCTTGCCAATGCCGCAGGGAGTCAGGGGCTGCCGCTGCAGCTCCTGCTTGAGGCTGTCATGGGAAACAGGCTAAAGATAGCCTGTTCCTGAAACCCTGGTTTTGTGCCTGAGTCTTAGGGTAGGTCGATCTTATGAGGGCCCGAAAGTGGCCCTCCGTTTCAGGCTGAAAAGCCTCAGGGGTGAAAAGCCCTGTTTTAGGCTGAAACGACATAGGGCCTGCAGGCCCTCGTCTTTCAGGCTGAAACGACAGGGGCCTGTAAGCCCTTATTTCTAGGCTTTTAGGCTGGAAATGCGGGACGGGCCCTGTAGGCCCGTGTGGCTACGCAGTATGCCACACTGGGACTTTTCGGTCTGTGCTGTGGACTTAGTACGGTTAGATACGTTGAGGTGGTTAGATACGTCGAGGTCGAGGTTGAGGTCGATGTCTCGTCAGACACATCCAGGAAAGCCCCAGTGTGAATATGCCCTCAATCGCGCGCAAGGATCTGATGGGCTGGCGTGGGCGCTTTCTACCAATCATCCCTGATCCCAAGGCCCCACGGGCTAAAGGAGGGCCAGCCCATCCATCCAACTTGAGTGTTTTTTTTTTTGTTTTTTTTTTGTTTTTTTTTAATCAATTAAAGAAGTACAGACGAGGAAGTTCCAGGTTTTTTTTTTTTTTGGTTTAATCAATTAAAGAAGTACAGACGAGGAAGTTCCAGTTTTTTTTTTTTTTTTTTTTTCCCCATATTTCTTGTGTCATCCTTGCTCAAAGGCCATGCTAATAATCTTGTGTGTTATCATTGGATTTTATTTTTTTTTCGTTTCTTTTTACTCTAGGGGCCATGCTAATCCTCTCTGAACTGTTCCAATGTTAACGGATGACGGGAAGTTCCGCAGGGGGATTGGGCGCTCATGTTCGGCGGGGACTGGAGTTATGCACTGTTCATCTTAGAGTCAGCCCATCTCCCGACTTGCGCTATAATGTAGTATGATTGAAAAAGAAGGGGGGAGAGACGAGAGTCTTCCCACGGCATTTGAGCAATGATGTTATTTCAGCCCACTACCACGCAAGGATCTTCTGATGGACTCACCGACTGATCTGACTACTTGTACTTCCTGTAGCCACATCATGAGGGTCTCTACCCATCCATGCAAAAGAGGCAAAAGCCCTCCTGTGGTGAATGGCTGATGTTCTTCCGGCCAATCACGCGCAAGGGTCGGATGATGGACTGATCCCACTACCCACATGAGCGTCCGCCTTAGCTACCCACCCAGTTTGGGTTACTTATTTAGTGTTTTCCAAAAGCATAATAACAAGGAGGCAAATGCTCCGCGGCCATTGGGCGGTGTTACTCTTGCCCCTAACACGCCCAGGGTCCCATGTGTCTGAGCCGGGTTTGTGTAGTTTGGAGTTAACGTAATGCTACGCTGGGATAGAGAGTGTTGACGAAGCGAAGAGTATCAGTGAAGCTGTTGGCGAATGGGCAGGAGCAGTAGTCTGCCACTGGCATGCATTTTATGCGCATTTGCCGAGTGGCAGATTTGTAACTCTGCTCCATCTGACAGGAGACTACTTGCAGTCGCGGGTTGATGGAACGCGGCTGCCTTCCTCAAATCCTTCCCAGAAGCCAGGGGTAAGAATAAAAAAGCAACAAAGACATGAAAAGAGGTACATGAGCAATGAGCCTAGCTCACTTGGTACACCAATGAACTGTTGAAATACAGACCCAAGTTCGAATCCAGATGATGGACCTAGATGTATGCAATGAAATGATTCTCAATTATGTGGCGCATGTCATTGAAATGACGATATCTCAAGGCCATCGCCCTTAAAAAAAAAACAGAAAAAAAAAGTACACGCAGTATCAGATACTGTCAGGCAACAGGAGAGAAAGGGCATAGACGACGACGGGACCAAGAAAGAAAGAAAATATGTAGTTGATCATAATTAATTGAAACACAACAGACATAATTCCTACACACCTCTTTTTTTTTGGTTTTCCTTTTTGAAAATCTCATCCATAATTCCTACACACCTCTTTTTTTTTTGTTTTCCTTTTTGAAAATCTCATCTTTTGCAGTATTCTTTTCAAAATATGTGTCCGTTTGAATAAACCCAAATAACACTTTTCCATACGGCATCTCAGCATCTGACCTCCGGCCGTACACCATTGGCATGTTGTGTCTGTCAAACACACTCGCACCATATGTGTGTGTGTGTGTGTGTGTGTGAGAGAGAGAGAGAGAGAGAGAGAGAGAGAGAGAGAGAGAGAGAGAGAGAGAGAGAGAGAGAGAGAGAGAGAGAGAGAGAGATGAAACGGTTGTACTCTTTTTTTTGTGTTGAAAGACGATCAGGGGTTGGAGGCAAAATGAAAAGGAAGCACAAGAAGTCAATTATGGAGAAAGGAAGGATGACTGACGACACAGTGCTCTTTCCGCAAGAACAAGTTGTGGAGCGCAAATGAACTGACAGGAGGACCAAATGGCTAGTGGCGGGCACCCATGACAACGGACGGTTGCCCGTGACAGTTTATGTAACTCAATCGCGACAGACAGTTACTGAAACTGACGGCATACTCAGAGAGTTGGCCTTCCATGTTGAAAAAAAATGCTAGTCTAAGAGGAGAGCACCCTCATAATTGTAATTTGTCACCGAACCTGTGAAAAATATTGGGAGAACTCAAAAATGCTCTGCAGTCTCACTGAGACAAAAAAAAGCTAAGTTAAGTAACAAATTTTGGTAAAACGGTCCTGCTTTCCTTCTTGGACTGAACTTCTTACCTAGTAGAACTTCTACTGTGAGAGAGTCTGGGACGGGCACTGCAGAGGGGATCTGAAACAGGTCATGCTTCTTCACTCAACATCTATCATTCAACTTCCAACAGCTGTTATGTAGCCTTGAAGGCTAGCAGAGAATCATCCTACTTTTTTTAGTAGATGGGATATGCCCCTGGGGATGCCAGCCCCAGATAGCTCAGGGCAATCATAAATATATATCTGAGATAGAGACGTGCAAAATTCAAGGGAGGAAGGCAGGCTGGTGAGATTATGGCAGGAACGCGACTCAAGGCACTTCAGACTTTTCAATCGATGGCTGAACATATCCAGGTCTTGAATTCCATCACATCGAGAAATCTCTAATCTTTGTAGGCGAGGGCTGGACTCGAAACCGGCCAATCTGAAATCAAGTTTCGCCGACTCATCCTGAAAGCATGGCTCAGGGAAGACTGGAACGTCCAATAAATCAGGTAGGTCGCCCAGCCTCAGAGTTTTGAGTGTGGTGCAGAAGAGGAGGAAGCTGGACAGTGATGTCAACTGATTACCCACTGATCGAAGTCAAAGAGAGGTTAGTGAGCT